AGCAGAAACGGAGAGATGGTGTTTCTGTATTCTGTTATTTCACCGGTGTTGATGGCGATGGCGAGGCCCTTCACGGAGGCGACGGTGAACGCCCCGAGCAGCGAGCAGACGCTGATGTACACGAGGATGTTGGAGCGACCGACCCGAGGAGAGAAATAGAAAACGAGCACCGAACACAGCAGCAGCACCGCCGACAAGTACACCAGGAAACCTGCCGAGGAGAAATAAGGACGTGTTATTAAATACAATAAATATGTGAATCTTTTATGGATATAACAGCCGGCGACTCTCTGTTTGCCAAATGTTGTTTACATTTGACCATGTTTCTTGTTTTGACTTGTTGTAACTTAACAATACATAAAAGCCCTTTTAAGATTCAACATGTTGGAGTCACATGTTCAGAATGATACCACTTTAAAGTCTGTAATCTAAGTAAGTTAGCTTTGGTTTCTCAACATTGAATTGGTTTTGTTAGAGCCAGTGTTTTGTTTTATAAAAGGAGCAACCTAATTGACGTATGTAGTCAAGATAGTATAAATGACTATAACTCCAAGGCTCTAAAGCAGGGGTGTCAAACTAAAGGCCCGGGGGCCAAATCCGGCCCGTGACTTCATTTTCTGTGGCCCCACAAGAGCTTGCAAAGAATATAATATGTTTATTATACAGTTACATGATGATTTACAGAAGCACGTTGCCCATAAACTACATGTCCCACAATGCATCTCAAATTGGACTTTTATCTTTGAATTTGCCTTTTTCTCCAAAATGTTATTTCTTTTACTTTTTTCTTCAGAATTTGGCTTTTCTTTTAAAATCATTTTGTGATGTGCGCACTGAAGAGACTTGCAATTGTTTGCCCTAAACTTCTTCTTTCAGACGTAGTTAATTATGAAGTTATTACCCTATCCGATAATAATCCAATGCAGAGCCAATAATGTAATATAATACATTATTTTATATTAAATATTTATACATGTATTTTTATATAGTCTTAAAGTTACAACCGTTCCCTTTGAGTGCAACCATAATGCTGATGTGGCCCGCGATGAAATTGAGTTTGACCCCCCTGATCTAAAGAGACTGAGATGGGCAACCAGACCCAAAGACGCCAAAGAAAGAAAGAAAGACCACCCAAGTTGTTTATTATTTTGCGTTGACTAAAGGCCTCTTTTCTTTGTTGAATGTGTGAAAAGTTTATTTTATTCAGAGTAAACGCCTCACAATAGCAACATTCTGCATTAGAGCAGAGGAAGGAAGCAGCGACAGGTGTCTCAAACTTGGATCTTTGGTTTCTCAACATTGGATCCTCTGAACTTTAGTTTATAAGCTCATCTAAAACTCACCGGGGTCCAGCAGCTTGTAGGTCATGTCCTGTAGTGATGTCACTTCCTGTTCTTGTGGGGCGTGGATCACCAACAGGATGCTTCCCAAAACACACAACAAACAGCCCAGTTTCCCCACCACGTTCAGCTGCTCCCCCAACAGGTAGGGCGCCAGAACTGCACTGAAACACAGCAAATACACTTATTTATTCATCACACAGACATGGGGAAAGAAAGCTCTAGTCCAATATATGAACTTCTTACCTTTGTACAATTATTTTGTATTCTATTCCATCTTTTTATTGCACATTTCTTCTATACATTCTTATGGTTGTATACATGTTTGTATTCCAGTTTGTTATATTTCACCTTTTTACTGTTTGTATACGTCTTTTTTATTCCATCTTCTTTCATTTTTCAATTTCTAAAATGGGGAACTATCATGGCACATCATTTCTAGAAGCTAAAATACTTTAACTGAGATGTAAATCTATTTTGAGAGCTACGGCTACCTGATGAGGACACTCAGGGCTCCGAGCGGCGTCACCAGCGTGGCCGGAGCGAACATGTAGGCGGCGAAGTTACACACCTCTCCAACTCCCACTGCAGAAACGCACATACACAGAACCATTCATGTACCTTTCATTTATTTAGCTAAGCTTAAAGAAGGTTGATTTACAGCCGAGGAAGCGCTCAAAGAACGGCTTTTAGCAAACAACAATGTCATAACTTCAGGGTTTCTCTAGAACAGTGGTTCTCAACTGGTGGGTCGCGACCACTTGACCCGTTTCGAGTGGGTCGCGGATGTGTGAGTGAAGACATTTTTTTTATTTTGAAGGCCCGATTTTCTAACGCCGTGCATGCAGGCGTTCTCAGAGT